ACAGCAAAACAAAAAGCCTTAGACGGATGCATAGGTGGGTAGAAATTAAGTGAGGTACAGGATAAGCACACCACCTCAAGATGTATCCCACAGGTTACTCATGAATTACACAGAGGAAGATGCGCCCTTGCAGTGAGGAACCTGACCCATGCCAGCTTAACTCCATCAGTAACGAGACAACTCACTATCTGGTGGCGCCTGACAGAATGCACCGACGAGAACACATCATCCCTTCTGGTTTTCTAACCCAAACGCACAACCTGGAACTTATCATGAGAAGATGTAAGACAGACCCAACGGCCTATACTCTTCAAAATTGCAAGGGCGTGACGAAGAAAGAGTAAGTTTTCCACATTCGGGGAGAGTGAGGAGGCATGGCAACAAAATGCAGCGTGTGATGCTGGACTGTACTGAGTCGGAGGAAATCGCTATAAACAACAGTACTGGGATAATGTGGCATAATTTGCACAAGGATTACTTTTTGGATGACAACATCATAACAATTTTAATTTCTCTAGATTTAATCACAGTATTCTGAGAGACACTGAAATACAGCCTGGAGTGTTTAAAGGGCCATGATCTCCGCAGCTAACTCTCGAATGGTGAGAGAAGAAACGCGCGCAGAGCGCGGGAGGAGGCGCGTTCCCCGCCAGGCACCCGCGTGGCGGGAGGAGCGTTCGCCACCGGTGAGTGGGGGGACAGCGCCCCTCCCCCACTCTCCTCCGGGCCAGCAAAGCCTGCACGGGCAGAGGCCCCATCGTCCTCCCGCGGCACCACGCGCACCCTCTCCGCACCTGCCGTGCTGCGTCTCGGGTGTCCGCGTCCGTCTCCGCGTCCTCCAGCGCCGCCAGCGCCTCCTCGCCGCTCTCCGGACACCGTCCCCGCACCCGGGCCCGCAGCTCCGCGGGCAGGACGGCCAGGAACTGCTCCAGCACCAGCAGCTCCACGATCTGCTCCTTGCTGTGCGTCTCGGGCCGCAGCCACAGCCGGCAGAGCTGCCGGAGCCGGCGCAGCGCCTCGCGCGGCCCCCCGGCCTCGGGGTAGCGGAAGCCGCGGAAGCGCAGGCGGCAGCGCTCGGGGCCCCGAGCGGGGCTGCGGCTCGAACCCGCCTCCTCGTCCTCCACC